TTTTCTTTTTTTTTTTTTTTTTTTTGAATTAATAACAAATCTGGAAGATATATGTGAATGAATGATAACACTGTTTGTAATCGATAAAATTTTAAATCAATTAAACCATATTTAAATGTTAATTACCATATAACAACAATCATATGCTTGAATCTTAATTATGTGTAATGTTATCACATATCACATAATGTTATCAGATAATTTGCTTTCGTAGTAATGATCAAATTTATGATTAGCAGCATAAAGTTCTACGAAAATATTTGATATCGATAGAATAGTACTTGTAAAATATATGGAAACTAAATGAAGAACAAATAGTTATTGCTTGTCACGAACAGATGATAAGACTGATAAGAGTCTTATCATAACTCTCTCAGAAGATTCAGACACTGAGAATACTCAGACGATAAACATTGATTGTACTGCTAGTTATGTAGAACCATTTTTCAAAAAATTTCGCTATTTCATTATTTAAAAATTGAATTAAATTGAATTAAAATTTGAAATTTAGCACTAAAATAAGTTAGTTCATAATGAATTGTTTCATAATCTGTCATTGACATTATATTTGATAAAATTTGTCAAATTGTAATTAATTTCAAAGAAATAACATAATAATTACTAGTAGGTATATATATTTTTCTCTTGAAACTTATTTAGATTATATCATTGATAAGGATCTCATTAATAAATGCCACAATTCCAATTCCAATATATTGTATGTATATATATACAAATCATATAATTCTAAACATAATTTCGATTCAGGTACATCTACTTACGTTCGTATACCTATTTACATGTTAAGTGATAATTAATTAATTATAAGCTCAAGTAACATACACAGCTGCTTTTTGTAATTAATTATGAGTTCTTATCGCAATTCATATGATAGTGATTTAATAGTTATTTACATGTTAATTGATAATTAATTGATTAAAAGCTTAAAGAGATAGACTTAAATAGCTTAGAAGTTTAAATATCGTGTTCAGTAGCATCTATTTCCTATGTACATTGTTTGCTACCGAATTTTCAAGTACCATAACAATCATTTCAATCATTGATAAATATTTATAAAAAAAAAAGAAAATTTGCTAAAAATTAAAGATCGAAAAGTTGTGAAAATTTTAATTAACTCATCTAATTAATGAATTATATTATTATTTAGCTAGTAATGTATTCGGTGGGAAATAAACATTCTATCAAATGGAAATTTTTTGTATATGAAATATAATTTGAATTTTTTTTTTGAACATAAATAATTTTAAGAATAATTTATTAAAATAATTTCATTAATTTATGGAGAGGAAAAAATTAATTGATGGATAATTTGACTGTAAATTTGTAAATGCTAATTTTTGGGATATTTTATTAAAAGTAATCGATTTAGAGATATGAACAGTAAAAAAAGAAAGAAAGAAATTGTGGTAGAGCATTATTTTTGAATTAATAACATCCTGTTTTTCTTTATTAAATTTTAATTTTAAATTTTTAGTTAAATTCAAAATGTTTGTTCTTTTCGTTTTTACTTTTGCTTTCTTCTTTTTTTGCTTCAATTTATTTCATAAATTAGCTTAAAAAAAATGATTCCTTTTATTATTTCTTAATTTTTATTCATTATTTGTTCTTCTTCTATCACTGGTGCATAACTTATGCATACATTTTAAATAAAAGAACATCGAATGATTAAGAGTTAAATTTAGCAATTGCGAAAAAAAAGTAATAATTTAAGGTTGATAATGATAGAATTAGAATTATATCAATTAGGTGAGTTGAATAATAAAGCTGATAAGGTTTGGTGTAATAACTGAGGTAAATAAAAATGAAAAATGAAAATTATTTGCAATCATTTGGAATAACTAAATGATTTGTTATATTTGATAAAACAGGAAAATTTTCCTTTCTTAAATTTTGATTAATTTTATACAAAAGTACGAAAGGATTTTAGCAATTCTTAAAATAATTCATTTATCACTTTGATCTTGCGTGACTTTACGAAATTGCAAACAGCAGCATGGTATACGCCTCCAATAGGATCTCCCAATGCCAGGGAGGTTTTAACTGAAAGGTCAAATAAAATGTATTCAATGGGCAGGTTTACTTGATCTGACTAGTCTCTCGATAACCAATCCTAAGACAGGGATAATTCTCCAAACTTAGACTGATGGAAATCGTTTAACTCTGTAAGGTTATCCATCTAGGAAAAGTATACTCTAATAAAACTTAGACTCTGAGGATTTTACTGTCATCAATCTAGCTCGCTAGGTCCTTAGCAAATGAATTTTAGGAGTAAAAGAGGATAGGGCACATTTCATGCATGCTGTAACACATCTAAACATCTAAGAAATTTACAATATCTGCGCAGGCTAAAATGACACATTGATATCTGTAACAAGCCTAGGCCATTCGGAAGTCTTCGCAAAGCCTAGCCAACATGTATGAGATGCTTTTTAAGTCGTTTGTCATTTGTGTTACGACACTATGCGAGCGTGTCTTTACGCGCTAAATACATTGCCATTCAAATACGATCAAATGCACGCTTTTCCAATTAAAAGTATTCATTTTACAAAACTAATCGATAATTTGTATCTTTCACTATTATGTGTCTTTTTTCTATTCTATATGTACGTGCATTTTACAAACTTACGTACGTGCATTTTACAAACTTACTTATATACAAACTTTACTTATATGTTATCAGATTGAACATTAAGTCATTTCATATATCAAATTAAACATAGATTTGCTATGCAAATAGTTTGTTACGCATGAAATTGAAAGTTTTGTTTATTGTACATCATCTTATTGATTTTTGATTTTTAATCTCTTTTGTTTTTTGGTCAGTTTTGATTTTGTTTGTTTCTTTT